GAAATACGCTTATGATAAAATTTTGGAAAATGGGCGTGGCACCGCCCACTTATGATCACATATATATATATATCGGTAACAGTTCAACCAATTTGTACCAAACTCGGTATTTTTATTGTGCTTGCCACATAAAAGCAAAACGTTGCAAATTATTGAAATCGGACTAAAATTCCGGCCGCTTTTCATATAAATATAAATAAATTTCAGAAATGCTTGAAACTGCAATATTTCGAAATTTAAGGACGCTAATTTACTCAAAATTGATACACCCCGGCTAACCATCTAGCGGTAGGTTTCGAAAAGGTGAAAAAACATTTATTTAATATTTGCGCCGGGTATTTAATGTTCGGCTCCGCCCGAACTTAGACTTTCTTACTTGTTATTTTTAGAGTTGTCCTTGAACCTTTATTATGCTATTTTTAATGATTTGTTGGAAAACCTTTAATCCAATAAATACGGAGCTCAAGCTCATACCCAATCTTCTCAATACACTGGAAGTGTTGTTCAACGCATTTCACCACAACTCACTTTAAATCACCACAAATCCCCACATCTCAGCTCAATCCACCTCAACTCACCTCAACTCACGTTAACTCACCGCACCCCAACTCACCTCGCCTCGCCTCACTTCAACTCACCTCACCTCAATTCAACTCACCCGAAATAATGTAATTTCACCTCAACTCACTTCGCCTCACTTCAACTCACCTCAACTTAACTCAGCCCAATTAATGTAATACCACCTTAACTCACCTCATCTCATCTCACCTCACCTCAATTCACCCTAACTCACCTTAACTTATCTAAACTCACCGCACCTGAACTCACTTTACTTCATCTTTACTGAACTCAATTCAACTCAACTCAGTTCAACTTCCCTTAATTTAAGTGGTGAAATTCGACCAATCGCTTGGCGAACACTACGAGCCCTAACCGCAAAAAAATGTAAGCGACATATTTCTCCAAAATTGTCTTGTTAATGCAGAAATGCCCGTAGAGCATCTAGATACAATTCTGCATCAAATAGAAAATTTTGAAAATGTTTTAATGGCTATGCAGCTATATTCTACACAAAAAAAAAGCTTATTTTAGGGAGCCTTGAAAACACTGGTGCTTTAAGGAAGAAATGTCCGTTTATACATTCTGAGGATAGGGTTTTCAAGGTTAGGTACATTACAAATGCCTGAACAAAATTTCCAAATTAAAATATTGGCACAATATAGCGAGTATTTTTTATTTTTTTGTTTAACTGTCAGCATCTCTGCCACATTTCTTTAACTTCAAGTTTTACAAATTTTAGAATGCAAGCAAATGTAATTTTATGTGAAATTATTGCCGAAAAATTGCGCACAGCAAGCATTCGAATTTCGAGCGCTCCCTGCATTCTGCAGCACCCTTCCAATAGAGAAAAATATGTATCCTCTTCAAATACACTTGCAACACAGCCCACCGCGCTTGTTGGGGGGCAGCAACGTTTCAGGCATTTCCGTATGCAAAATTTATAAGCAACTAATCGAGCGCATTTGCTAACAACAACAATAACGCTACGGCAATGAAACTGAAACCCCATTACAAGTGAGTGCATACATCACTTCAGCTAAGATATTCGATTTAATTCCTAGAAACGCCCTGAGTTGATCGCACAAAAAAAACAACAACAACAACTAAAAAGCGCAACAACGGGGATCTAAACAAAAAGCCGCCATTGCCGCTAGTGTGCTGCTCAAATACAAGTTCGGATTGAAACCTTGAAGCCAGGCAGCAACATATCAAAAAAAGAAACCCTAAAAGGCATAGTTGTCGAAAAAGTGTGGCCGAACAGCAGTTGCATTCGCAGCAGTAACGTCAGTAGAGAAGAGATGACTTCGCTCTAGCACTCACTGGAGCAACACTAACGACAAACACGACTCACGGCCAGCGTTGCCAGAAAATTTTTGTTACAAATCTTCCCAGTCATGAAAAAATCTTAAAAAAAAACCATAAAAAGGTTATTGAAACTAGAAAAAAATCTTTTTCTCTAGAAATATCTTCATTGAAGATTTTATAACAAAAAAGATTAAATTTTTTCTATTAAAATTGTATGTGTTATACAAAATCTATTAAATAATCATTTGTATAAAGAATACCACTTAAGGTGGTGGTTTCCAGCTTATTACGATTTTTTTTTTTGGTTAAAGTTTTTTTTGAAAAAACTCTCCCCGGATCTGCACATTCATCCTCGCTAAATGATGATGTTTCAATAAAATTAATTATTGAAAATTTAATTTGTTAATTTAAATTTAGAAACCAAAATTACTTACCTTTTTGTTTTAACAAATAGCGATCCATGCTTTTTATCTTGTGGAAATTCATTAAGCCGAGTATGAGCTTCAAAAAACCGAGTTTAAGCGCGAATTTTGACAGACAAAATCAATTCAAAAACATATTAATAAAAATCTATATTAATATCTACCTGACGTGCAGGGTAAATTGATGACAATAACGAAAACTTTGTTGCCAACCCTCCCAAAAAAGTTAATCTTCAAGCGCTGCCAGATATCTTCACTACGAAGATTTTTTGTATGGAGTTTATTTTTGTTAATTTTGTTAATGTGAAGATTTTTCTGATTAGTTATGAAAAATATCTTGATTTAGAAGATACATCTACACTCCTGGCAACACTGCTCACGGCCGCTGGTTACATGCATACATACATATATGTATACACATCGGCGTAGCCAGAATGAAATTTAGGGGGGGGGGGAGGGGGGGTTCGACCCTATTAAGCTGGCATTTCAGGGTACTATTTTATATATATATATAAGAAAAATTTGAAAGTTAGGCGGAGGCTCTAGCACCCCCCAGCCCCTACCGGCTACGCCCATGTGTATACATACATACCTGATGGATAGTAGTTATTGCTGCTGCCTTTTAGCTTAATTTAAATTGCCTGCGATGCGCTTTAACCTTGACATTTTTTTTGTGCAACCACTTCTACGAGTAGTACTAAAAGCATTTGTGTTTCCATTATGATTATGTATTCTTTTTGCGTTTGCTTTTGGTCAACTTCTTTGCGCACAACGCACGCATCACAATCTCAAGCTATGCTTTATCGCGCCGCAATTCCAAGAAATTGCAGGTGACTCCTTTCAAATGGTTTTTACTGTTGCTTTTATTGCTTGCTGCGGCTATGTTGTTACTGACTTACTGCGCTCCGTGTTATTTACTGTTGTTATTGCCATGTTGCATACCTGTGCAAGCAAAGCGGTTTGGTTATGTGGCATGTTGACGCTTGAAGTTTGGGTATATTCGTTCTGAGGGGCAACTGGGAGGGATGAGCACTCAGTTACGGATGCGTTTCGGCGAATTTGTTCAATCATTAGAAACCAATTCTCAAATTCGTACATCAAATGTTGTGGTCTGAATGAAGTCAGCTGAATTTTGGGTATCGTATTGAGAGTTGCAGTTTTTGTTTTTAGTTGAGTTAAGAGGAAAGTGAATTTTTGCTGCAACGCGTGGCATATACAGGGTTTTACTTTATATGGAATTTTGCTTGTAGAGGAAGTTTGAAATGGCGATTTTATGAAGATGCCTTGTGGCCGCTGAAGGACCTAAATGAATGCATTGCAACTGCATACGAGCCAGAAGGGTTAATTCTAAAAATTCAGATACATTTATCCCAAGGGCTCAGACCCTTAAGATTAGCCAAGAACAAAGGGGGAAGCCCCTATGGTGGATAGCTCAGCTCTCGGATCTCAGATTGTTAAGCAGATACTGCTGTATATATGTATGTATAGCGATCCCAGAAACAGAATCAGGTGTCGTCAAATTCACATACAAAATCCTATCGAAATTATAAGGCCTAAAAGATACATACACACTTACTTAAAGGACGGCACATGCGCTCGAGTTTGTTATACTGATGGATCCAAGCGCGATGATGGCAATATTGGGGGTGGCATATTGGAATCTACATAAAATGCACCATTGGACAAATATTCGTCTATATGTCAAGCGAAAATGTTTGAAAGTGACATTAACAGGGCAATTCTGGCTAAGATAGTTGCAAAGAAAAGAAAGATTCGGTTTTTTTTTTTACTTTTTTATTATATCATAATTTTTAGATTTGCTTCTTTTAAAAAGGTTTTTTTTAACTCAATGCAATTTTTAGGAAGTTATTTTTTTTTTTTCTTTTTACAATTAAATTTTCTTTAAATTTTCAGATTTTATTGTTTTAATAAGAACATTTTTTCTAATTTCATTTAATTTTTAACCGCTGTGCTTGAGTGGTTAGAGGTGCGCACCCTCACGGTTCGATCTCTGGTCCGAGCAATATCTGAATTTGAAAATTATTTTTTCATAACAGCGGTCTCTCCTCGGCTGGCAATGGCCAACCTCCGAGGGTATTTCAGCCATGAAAAAGCTTATCATGAAATCCATTCGTCATTCGGAGGTGACATTAAAATGTAGGTCACGCTATTTGTGAGAGAACGTCAAGACGTACACCACAAATTAAAGGAGAAGC